AATATTTGTATTTATAATATTCTGTTCTGAATGGACAGCCAAAAACCACGTGGAGAGAAATGGAAAGTTAAATGACTACCACTGTTGAGGAGATCAATCAAAATAGAGGAGAATGGTTACTATCTCAGGTTCCTGGGAGGTCTTGATACTGGGCTTGTCTCACTCTCTACAAAGCCAGACAGGAAAAAAAATTCAACATGGCTTTGGAAGAAACAAGGACCTGAGCACTAAGTACAAGGGAATTTCAGGGAGTAATTAGGAAGGTAGGAAAAGAATCTACTCCGACAAGGGTTTCTGCACAAGGGGAGTATGAAATTAATCCTAGTCCACACGCTGGTTTAACAAGAGCGTTTCCAATGGTCTTGTCTGTTTCAGTGTAGTCCTAAGAAAACATAGCACTACTGCAGTTTACTGTGAAACATTTGAGAGAAGAGATTTGAGAATATGGAAGAGATTATTCCACAAGTCTATGAAATTCTGAATCAAAAATCAAGAAGCATTACAGTCACCTGAAGAATAAGGTAAGGTTCATCTCTAATCAATGAATATAGATACACTGAAACGTGTACCAAAAACATGAGCATAATACATGCAAGTCTGTGTTTTCAAATTTTAGTGGAAATATTGCCTGTCCAAGCCATTAACGTTGTTAGCATACATATTAATATATGTGCACTTGGCATATATGAGTCAACCTTGAGGTACACTAAGTCAGAGAAGACCAGTTGGCTTATTTTGAGAGGGCTGTAGATGAAGGAGCATCCTTGGGGAAAATGGAGTTTCACTTTAAGATTAGAGGTAGAGAATACTGAGGAGATTGCTAACTGTGATGTCAGAGTTCTAGAAGGGTAGGAATGTAGACGATACCTAGCGAAAGAAACTCAGAGAAGTGTGAAGACACATGAAGTAGAGCTCTCTTGGAGCTTATACTTGGATGATGACCAAAAATAATGGATAGGTGAGAAATGGAATTAGTTCTAAACGAGGCCAGACCTCAAGAGGTTTGATAACTAGTAAGAATGATCCAAATGTTACTACAAAGCCAGTAAATGGCTATAGAGTGGGGTATCCGTGAGATACTGGATACCTGGTGAGATACAGGATGCCCTGTGCCTCCTGCTCTCTCACACAGGATTGTCCAGTTTGCGGTTTGGTGGGCTCATTGGTTTGAGTAGCAGTGGTCAAAGGCAGATTTTGAAGTATTATCAAGGTATAATAAGAAATCAGTGCAGTTGACCCTTAAACAGCACAGGTTTGAGCTGCTTCGTGGCTGCACTTATGTGTCGCATATATCTATATATCTGTATCCTATAGCTATAGATATACAGTGCTGTAAATGTGTTTTCTCTTCCTTGTGACTTTCTTAATAACAGTTTCTTTTCTCTAGCTCACTTTACTGTCAGAACACAGCGTATTCTACATAAAATGTACAAAGTGTGTGTTAATCCACTCTTTCTGTTATTGGTAAGGCTTTGGTCAATAATAGGCTATTAGTAGGTAACGTTTGGGGGAGCCCAAAGTCATATGTGGAGTTTTCATGGTGCAGAGGATTGGAACTCCTACCCCCTGTGTTGTTCAAGGGTCAACTGTATATTACTTTGAGACTGATTAATGATGTTCAGTCATTTTAACTGCTTCAGCATTTGCTAGAGAACCAGGTGGATTTATGAGGGGCTTGACAAAATGGGACAGCGATTGTCTGATGACCTTTCAAAATATATTAGTTGGGTGGTCATTTTATTTGTTCCTCCGATCCAGTTGCATAGTGCCTTGTGAAATAAAACATCTATTCTGTGGTGGTAACAACATGGTAAGCTAGACAATGTACAAAAGAAATTCAGTTTTGTAGGAATATAATTTATTATTGCTATGTCCTTAATCAGAAAGTTAGGATAGTATTCAATCATTTGATCAATTAACTTTTTCTTTACACCCATGCAAACAAATTGTCCTGTGCGCCTGCCTTATTTTGATACCAATTTTGGGGCTGGAAGAGATAAAATGTGAGTGCTATTTATGTGATAATTATTTTGTATGCAATAAAGTATGCTCATATTTTTCTATGTGATTATTGCCATTACTCTAAAGTTTCAAGTCTTTTGTTGCTTTTATGGCTTCATATTTTAATTCTTCAATAAATCTGGAATTTGTTCTGTAATATAGTATGAAGGGAGATCCCAATTTTATATTTTTATTAAAATGTTGACAATTTGTCTTAAGCAATGTTCATGTAATCTACCTTTTTCTACATTGATTACAGATGGTCTTTTAAATCATCTAATTCCTGAGCTCTGGGCCTCAGGTATCTGTTCATTATCATTTATTTTCTCTCTCTTCTTATCCTAGTTCCTCTTTTAACTAGTCTGTCTTTATGTTATAATCTCAGGTAGAGTTAATTCCCTGCTCTTACTCTCCTTTGTGAAATTCTTCTAGCTTTTCTTACAGTTGAATTTAGAAGAGTTTTGACAGGTTTAAAGAAAAAAAATCCTGCTCCAGTTGTTTTTATAATTGTACTAAATGCATGTAGTAATTTAAAAATACTTGGCATTCCTACAGTATTTGGTTTTCTTTTCAGAAGTCATGAATTCTTCATGTTTTCGGGTCCTCTTATGTCTATCACTACCATTTTGCACTTTTTGTCATAATGTGCTCCACTCCCCAGTCTTATGTTAAGGGATATTTTGTTGTTATTTCTGCTGAGAACTGGGCTGACCCCAAAATATTTTATTTGTTCTCCCAAAGGCCGCAGACTTAAAGATACTGAAAGATATATTATCTCTTTCTGTGCCGACTCGAGGTCTCCAGGAAGAATCACATGAAGCATGTGTGCATACATTAGAACACTATATTGCTGAGTGTAGTTCAGCAGTTCATTGGTTTTCTGAGGACCTATTTTACATTCTCTCTGCAGCAGTGGTTTGACTTTTTAAAACACAAATATACTGTGAAGTTAACAGGACCATGAAAAAAATCTTAAAGAACAGAACGTTTCTCTGATATTAACAGACTTAATATGACTTCTTGATGTGACAGTAATCTCTCTTTGCTGGGAGAAGTGCAAAGTTACTGTTATTCATTCTTTCAACAAGCACTGAGAGAGTGCCTTCTGCTATGCACCTGCTACTTCCAGAGTGAGGTATTGCGGACAAAGAGGAAGCGTCAGGCATATTTGAGTCAAGTGTAGTTGCCAGAGATGCAGACGTCAGAGTCTAGTTGGAGGTGACGGGCACATAAATGGTATGTGATGCAGTTTGAGGTGTTTTCATAGAGGTGACATAGAGGAAAATCTCCTAGGTGATGTGACATCGGAGCTAGGTGTCTAAGGTTGATTAGAAATTTAATGGGCTGACCCCAACACGGGTGCGATTTTAAAGTAGAGGGTGTTGATGTGTTCATTTGATGAACAAATACATACCGAGTACTTACCGTGTGTGCCAGGCACTGTTCTAGGCTCTGGAGATACAGCAGTGCTGAAGACTGGTAAAATCCAAGCCCTCATTAAGCTCATAATCTGGTAAGGGTGACTTACATTAAACAGTGATCTGTAACGTAGTTTCAGGTAGTATATATTCTATAACAAAGAGATAGTAGAAGAACACTGGAGTGGGTAGGTGCATATATTATTATTTTAGACAGAATGGGCATACAAGAAAAGGAGTAAAGTGAAGGAGGAAGCAAGCAAAGATGTGGGAGCGGGGGGGGGGGATATTAGTGAGCAGAGGAAATCAAGTAAAAGGCTACTATAGGAACAAGCCTGGGGGCATATTCAGAGAATAGTAAACATATCCATGTAGCATTTGGATACATGGTACAAACTCTAAGGCAGATTGGGGATGGGATAAGAGGGTTAAGACAATGGCTGTGGTGCGAGAGATGAAGGGGTGGACTTGAGATGTGCAGAAAAACTTGACAAGAAGGTAGGCATCATGAGAGCAAGGATTTTTGGTCATTGCAGTATCCCCAAGCATCTTGAACACTCTCTGCACATGATAGGCACTCAGTAACTATCTATTGGATGAACGGGGAATTTGGCAGCTGATTAGGTTTTTGGAGGGAAACCAATGAAAAGTATGTTTGAGGGAAGAGTAGAAGATGCTGCTGAGCTTTTTCTAGATGAGTGATAAAGTGAAGAGTGATGCCATCAGTTAGGGTAGGCAAATCTGAAAATAAGGTGGCCTGGGAGTGGGAAGGGGTAAGGAGGGAGAAGCGTGCCCAATAGATTTTGGAGGGAAACTGGTTGGAATGATTTCCCACAATCTGTGTATATTCTGTGATTAAACTGTGCACCTCTAGAATGCCTAGCTGCAAGATTTTTTCCGGCATGGGTAATTTTACCTGGCTCATCCCATGGTTTGCTGAGGCTCTTCTACGGGAGGGGTGCAGAGAAACAGAGTAATGGACGTAAGTGGCAAGCTAAGGAGATGGACACTCCTGCCACTCATTGGTAATGGTTAGGTGAAGTTGAGAAAGAGAAACAGGTAAGAGAAACTGTAAAATTTTTCCTTTTATACACTATTATTACAAAATGATATATTTAGCTATCCACTGAGAGCCCCCGTTGATTTAGGCCAGGCTCTAGACCCAAGAGGGTCTCAACAGCCCACTTACACGTCAGAGTAAATGCAAGGAGGACTTACTGCTTGTACCACCTATCAACCCCCTCGCCAAATGCCTCTCTGTGATGTTGGACTTACTGGGAGGAGAGCAGTTTCATGTGCTGAACTCAGAGAATAATTTAGCACTTGCCAGTGGGGGTTAACAGTTCCTCCTAAAGACCAAGTAAAATGTGAAAGGGAGAACACTGGAAAGTGATTAGATCTTTGTAACTAGCTTTACCTCTGCAGCTTCCGTCTCAACCAGGCACTTCTTGTGTTTGTCCCATTGGGAAAAATCTTTTAGAATTATGGTTTTAGAAATGATTGTGGTAGGAAATAAAAGTCTTGTCAAGGAGAAGCATCACTTTCTAAACTATTTTACTGTTTGAACTTTGATCTTTGCAGATACGACTATATGGCAGCCTATGGAGGCAGAGCACTAGGAACAGTGGTACACCACGAAGGAGACGTGGACGTAGGCAGGGCAAATGGCCTAGAGCCAAGGCAGGACCATGTCACTGGGTTTCCTGTGCAGCTTCCCAGACCTGACACTCAGGCACTTACCTATTATCAGAACTATGAGAACACAGTACCTCAGGCTTCTTTCCAGTTCGACGGACTGGAAGAGCTCATCAAAACCCCCCCGGATGATTCACCTACTGAAAAATACAACTTCAACTTTCTGCTGTCAGATATGGGTAACGACGACTATCGAGACCATACTCAGGCACTTGACTATTATCAAAACTACGAGAATACTGTGTCCCCTCAAGCTTCTTTTCAGTTCGAAGGACTGGAAGAGCTCATCAACCCCCCCCCAAACAATTCGCCCTCTGGAAAATACAACTTAACCGTTCTGTTGTCAGATGTAGGTAACAACGACAATCAAGACCTGACCCAACAAACTAGCTCAGTCTATACCTCCTCACCGCTCAGTTGTCTGAGCTTCATGGAAGATAAAGGGATGGCATGTGAAACAACCAACTCTTATCAGATGACACAGGTGAGAAAGCCCCAAGCAGAGAAGGAATCCTTGAACAAGTGGGAAAGATTTAGAAAACTACGTGTACAGAAAAGGGTCCCAGTTCGGAAAGCACCGCAAACCGTTCCTGATCCGGTGCCTGAGAGAAAAAGAACAACTCCCATTAACCCTGCATACACAATTCGAAAATCAAGAGTTGCCAACAGCATCCACATGAGACCCTATAGGGATAGGGTGATTCACTTACTGGCCCTGAAGGACTATAAGAAACCTGAACTGCTTCTTCGACTCCAGAAAGACGGCATCCCCAGAGATGAAAAGAACTCCCTCGGGGAAATTCTATTCCAAGTGGCCAATTTGAATACTCAGAATTTTTCGTATACCTTAAAGGATCATATTTATAAAGAGCTCCAGAAAGACTGGCCTGGTTATAATGAGCTAGACAGGCAGTCGTTGGAGCTGGTGCTTTCCAGAAAAGCAGACACATTTCAGAATGCTTCTGGCACCAAACACACAGAATCTTCTCGAGGTTCTGGTGTAGATAAAACATGGGAGGATCAGTTTTACAATTTATCTCATATTAATTTATCAAGGAAAAAAGTTCGAATATCTCACCTGACTACGGCAACACAGTCAATGTCAAATAGTCATTCCGGTAACACCAGCACAAATTCTACTGTAGGCCTCTCGCAACCTTCTGGTGCTGCGGCCAATTCTCTCCCTCCTCCACTGCCCCCAGCCCACCATCCCCTTCCAAATCCTCCTCAGCCTAAATGTTCCAACAGCAAATCTTGTAGCTTTGCGAGAGGCCCTGGTGCTCAAGATCCAGGTGTTAACAGTTCTATTCAAAATAGGAAAATCTTTGTGGGGGCGCAGAGAAAACATACTTCCCTGGAAACATTAACCCCCATCTCTGTTCGAAGGAAGTATCTAAAGCTTAAGAAGAAAAAGCAATCGAAGTCCCACAAGAAGTCCAAATCTAAATTTAGAGAACTCAAAGCAAAGAAGCAAGAGTGTAATATTGAGATGATGGAGACGGAGACACAGAAGCCAGAACTGGAAAGACAGGGGGAAAGTGCTCAGCCAAACCCTAATGAAGTTGCTGAAGAGGTTTCCACTGCTTCTGATAAGACTTGTTCAGCATCTGACTTCCCCGATTATTTGGCCAACTATGTCACTATAAGCTCTTCTGAGCAACGTCGACACTATGAGCAGGAATTTAGAGCAGAATATGATGAATATTATGCCTTGTATACCAAGATGGTATCTTTATCTCAAGAATTTATTCACCTGGATTCAAAAAGGAAGCACCTCTCTCCAGACTCAAGAAAGTATCAGAAGATTAATAAGAAAATATCTCTAAAGTATGAGAAGATGAAACGGATTCATCCTAATTACTATGAAGAAAAGCATAGATGCCAGTACCTTTATAACAAGCTGGCTCACATTAAAAGATTAATAAAAGATTATGACCAGCAGCAAGTACAAGCCTTGCACTAGAATAGTGCTAGGATCAGAATAAATAAATATAAGCTTAGAGAAAGTACTGAGTTCCTTGCTCTAGGATTCTAAAGGGAGGAAACCACTCTGTTGAAACATTCAGGATTACCCTTTTAATTTTTCCTTCTTTTTATGTTTATTTTTATTTTAATTTTCATTTTTGGTGTGTTTGTGTTCCTTTGATTTCTGTTGCTTTATGTCTGTTTAATTTTGTTATTTTTGTTTCTTTATTTCTCTTTTCCTTTTCCTTTGCTTTTCTGTGCCTTTGAAGCTGTCTCATCTGATCTCTTTTACACCTAAAACTTGTGTTTTCACTCCCTTAAAAAAAAAAACAACATATCGAGGATTCAGTATCTTTGAGTCACACTTGTACACGTTAAAAAAAATAAAAGCCTATAAGAAATAATATGAATTGCTAGTGTCTTTTTTAACCTTTAATGCAAAAGCATCCTTAAAACATAGATGTTTAGAAATTTGCACAGAATGCCATGATTTTTCAAACGGTCCACATTTTCATTTCACTAAGTTTCTTCATTGACCTTGCTTGACACTGTTACTTGGATTTATCTTAGGGAATCCGTTATGTGCTCAGACGAGCAAAGATTGTGGGAGAGAGGCAAACCATGAGAGACTCTTGAATGCTGAGAACAAACTGAGGACTGGGGGGGGAGGGGAAGGGGGTGATGGGCACGGAGGAGGGCACTTGTGGGGATGAGCACTGGGTGTTATATGGAAACCAACTGGACAATAAACTATAAAAAATAAAAATAAAAACTCAGAAAGAATTCTTTTCATATAATCATTTTCATATCACCTCTTTACACCAGTTTATCATCACTCCTCATATTATGGCAGGAGCAAAAACAAAGACATTTGTTTTCTTATAAAATCCCTGTAGACGACACACGTACAGTCAGAATGTCAAATTAGGTGTCAAAAAGCCATATCACAGGAGATGGTCTTTGACAAAGTAAACATTTCGATGCAATGTTCTTTAAATCAGTACATATCAATATTATTACATTATTAGCATGTGATTGATTAAAGCTCTCCCTCACTTTTAGAATGAAAGGTACATTTTCATTTACTGGCTGATTCCATTAAAATATCTTTCTGAATCATCTTTACACATCGAAAGTTATGGATGCCTCTGCTACATATTCATTTATTAGCATTTTTATTTATATTCCTGAGAGGTGACCTTACAAATTAGCTTGCATGCTTAATAGTACCTCTGTGCTATTTCTCAAAGGGCAAGGTGGCTTCTTTCATTCGACAAGCCAGATGCTTTGACCTTCTTTTCCCGTGATGAGATTTTTGCCTGATGTCCTTCAGGCTTTTCAAGTTCGGCTCAGAAGGCTGTACCCAAGAGTGTCCAACCTCTGCAATCTCTGCACTCTTCTCTCAAGTCGTAGCCGCTCTGCTCTGATGAGGATTTCCTCATATAGAAATTGGCCTGTCCCTAGAGGGACATCTCTTTCTGTCCTGGGTTTTGGGGGCTATAACTTGTCAGGAAATACCTTCCAGAAGGGACTATCTGGAGGCATCAGTGTTTAACAACACAAAGCGTTCCATTAGCTAAAAGACTGGGGAGCCAACCGATGCCTGGAAGGGTGGGTACGGCCTGAAATATGGAACAAATCAAGGTAGGGTCTTCAATTCCAGCTGACGTGTTCTACCGCGGCCTGTTACTTAGAGTTCCTGACTTTGGGCAGATCTCACAGAGCACGCAGAGATAAAAGCACACCGCTATGACAAGGGGTGGGTGCTGGAGCTGGGGGGGAACGGGGACGGGGAGCAAGAGCCTTAAGAGTTGTCTATCGTGGGGTGTGTTCCGGGCATAGCAGGTTCTTTATCATAAATTTCTGACTCAGTTCTCACCCCAGTGCTGTGAGATAGGTATTCTTATGTCAGTTTACAGCAGAGAAAATTATGGCTTGTTGTGTTTTGACCACAGCTGTGGGACTAGGTAATGAGACCAGCGATTTAAACCCATTTCTATCTAAGTTAAAACGTCGACATGAGGGAGTTCAAGCAGGCCCGCTACTGACAGAGGTTCAAATGAGTAGATTATCCAAACACTAACCAAGACTCGTTACCTTCTACAGCATTGTGGCGGGAGACTAGGTTCTGAATCCTGACTCGGCTGCTCTCTGTACAACTTTGGAGAAATTACACTGTAGCTCTGGAGACTGGTTTTCCTATCTGTGTTTTGGTCATCATAGCACTCACAGGATTACTGTGCCTAGTGGGAGGTAAGCACTCTATAAAAGAGCTGATCTTGTTCTGATTACTTTCCGCTAATAGACGTGGGCATGTGTGCATTACAAATCAAAGGGCGGGGGGATTAGCTTCAAAGTTATCAGCAAAACAAGGAATATTTACTATGGCTCAGGATCCATAGAAAAACACTTAAGTTAGATATCAGATGGATTGTGTGATAATTTCAGGTGCATGAAGTCTCAGAAGTCAATATGAGTTTGTGGAGTGAGGCTTCCCCTAGGCTATACAGATAAAAGAATACAAACGGGTCTTATTCTAGTTCATGACCAAAACCTAAGCAACACGTAGCAGCCAGTCATTTTCTTACAGTGTCACATCGCCTCTTAGAAGCAGTATTATAAGGCTGACAGTCCACTTGATTGGTGACTCAGGAGACCAGCATTCTATTTTCCTTTGCTGAGTTTTCTCATGTGAATCATTTAACAGGGATACGTTGATCTGACAGTGTAGTGATGACCACATTAGACAGAAGAGCTGCTATACATGCATTATCTGTGTGGGATGGAATGAGAGATGTGCCATTAAGAGTAGTGGTAGTTGAGGCACGCCTGGGTGGCTCAGTCAGTTAAGCGTCCGACTTTGGCTCAGGTCATGGTCTCGCGGTTCATGGGTTTGAGCCCCGCATCGGGCTCTGCGCTGACAGCTCAGAGCCTAGAGCCTGCTTCACATTCTGTGTCTCCCTCTCTCTCTGACCCTCCTCTGCTTGTGCGCTGTCTCTCTCTGTCTCTCAAAAATAAATAAACGTGAAAAAAATTTTTTTAAAAAGTAGTGGGGGCACCTGGGTGGCTCAGTCGGTTAAGTGTCTGACTTCAGCTCAGGTCATGATCTCATGGTTTGTGAGTTCATCGGGTTCTGTGGTGACAGCTCAGAGCCGGGAGCCTGCTTCGGATTCTGTGTCTCCCTCTCTCCTGCCCCTCCCTGCTCTTGCTCTCTCTCAGTCCCTCAAAAATAAACATTAAAAATATTTTTCAAAAGAGTAGTGGTAGTTGAAGCCATGAGGTGAGAGTATAATGGCTAGGGAAGACAATATAGAGTAAAGAGTCAATGACTTGTCCTGTCCTGGGAAAGGCACCAATATTTAGAGTATACAAAGAGGAACAGAAGCCACAGAGAATGGCCAGAGAAGAAGAATGGAAACTTCAGTGGCTGGGAGCCAAGCAAGAAGGTAATCCACAGTTCCAAATCACACAGAGAAGTCTCGATACCTCAGTTCAACTCCCCACAGAGCAGCATGATCAAAAGTATACATTGATTCCAGCTCCAGAAATTTTCAATATATTTACTTAATTTAAAAAGGTACGGGATGTCTGAATCCCACATGAAATTTTCAGTAACTTAGTTTCTGACAAATGATTATTCTTAGATGGATTAGATCTTTATGTAGTAAGAATCTAGAATGTTTTGTGATATTATCACCTCCACTTGAAGGAAATAAACACATGGGATATTGAACTGTCCATTTTCCTGTGGTAGATTAGGAAGCATTTCTCAGAGTGGATGATTTTGACGGCTGAACTGAAATTTCTTTGATGTTCAGAATGTGTGTGCTGGTTTTATTTTGCATAATGATAATCAATTTCAGTGAATGATGAATCCACTCTGTTTATCTTTTAGGTTTCATTAAACTTTGATTTCATTCTTTTGATTAAGAAATCATTAATAAATATTGGCATTATTATCTCTACGGTTTTTAGTGTCACCGACACTGAAGTCCTGAGGCCTGAGTACAAACCAAAAAAGGATCGTTAACCGTCTAATTTACAGAACACACTTTTGAGGTATTAGCAGATACACACCTTTATACTCTATGGGTTGCTAGTCACATATTTGCTATTTTCATTTTAATTCCTTGCCCCTTAAATCGAGATACTTACAACATTGGCCGACCGCATTGCTCTCCTGTTTTGCAAGCCTGTAAAGCATTCGAGCAATATGCATCCCCTCTTTAGTCTGAGTCCTTGCTTCCAGTGCAAGGAAAAAGATTAGAATTTTGAAGTTAGTCAATTGCTTCTTAATTTCACTTGGAGTAATCTTTGACATTAACACAGCGAAGTTTTCTCCTATTTTCTCTTCAAGCAAATGTGTCTTTCCCAGGTATAACGGAGGTTTAGAATAACCTCTGTCTGTTAGGCGAACAAGCTGTCCCTTCAGCAGACTCCCTGTCCTCCTTTCAAGAAGGTGAGATATCGAAACTTGACTTAAAAACACCCTTCTCAGGTGGATGACCTTGTCTGCAATTTGTCTAATTAGGTGCTTACTTGATACAAAAGTGGCTTTCGTCATTAGTTAAAGGTGTTGAAACTGAGAGGCATGTTTCTGCCTTTTCTTCTCACAACATCTCAAATTAACTTCCTCTAAACCATAAAACAGAAGGGAAGTCGTGGTGGTTTCACCTACCTGTTCTAGGTGCACTTTTTATCAAATAATGAATGCTTTTCTTTTTTTTTTAATTTTTAATGTTTTTATTTATTTCCGAAAGAGAGAGAGAGGGAGAGAGAGAGAGAGAGAGCTAGTAGGGGAGGGTCAGAGAGAGAGGGAGACCCAGAAGCCGAAGCAGGCTCCAGGCTCCGAGCTGTCAGCACAGAGCCCGACGCGGGGCTCGAACCCACAAACCGTGAGATCATGACCTGAGCTGAAGTCAGACACTCAACCAATTGAGCCACCCAGGCACCCCTAATGAATGCTTTTCAAACTGAAATGAAATATCTGACGCGGCTAGCTCAGGAGCAATTGTATCACTATCTTGAACCTTTTCATTGCTGCCCTTGGTTTGTTTGATAAGGGTAATTCAGCTCCAATATAGAGATGATAAATGGTAATCTGTGCTTCCCATGAAGCCATCAGAGAAAGCTGTTTACCTG